GGAAAAATGCTTTGTCAGTAAAATAAATGTAGTCTTACTAAGTATCTTATGTAAAGAGAAAGACAACCTGATAAAAATCTGTAATCAGCAAATTTAGCAATATCTAGCTGAGGTTCTCCCTTTTTACTGCTAAAAACTATCCACTAAAAAGGTAATTTTTGATATAAGGTTTGAGGGTCTTATCCATGCACGGGATTTTTGTAGGTAAGTGAAAGAAAACATGATTTATGAGATGGTTGTTCCTAGCAGGAGGTAGGACTGTGTTTATGATGTTAATGAAAAGGGCTCTGATGAAAATAGGCCTGTTTTAGAGGACTGTAAAAATTGCAAAGGCCGTGTGGGGAAGGCATTATCTGACCTGTACCAACTTCACAAAGGGACCTGTCCTGTCAACAGCATCTATAGCACAAAACCAATTCTCATGAGGTCAGATATTCAGCTGATAAAAGGCAATTAATTGACTGTGTGGACCATAACAAGTTGTGACTGACATTGGGAAGAATGGGACTCCAAGAGCACTTAATTGTGCTCATGTGAAACCTATGCCTACACTAAGAGGCCATTGTGCACACAGAGCAAGGGAATATTATATCATTTAAAACTAAGAAGGAAGTGTGTCAGGGTTGTATTCTCTCTCCGTACCTATTCAATCTGTATGCTGAGCAATTGATTTGAGAAGCAGAAGTCTATGAAGAATAATGTGATATCAAGATCAGAGGAAGACTCAACAATATCCTGCGTTATGCAGATGACGCAACCTTGCTTGCTGAAAGTGAGGAAGACTTGAAGTACTTGTTGTAGAAGAACAGCCTTCAATATGGATTGCATGACAAGGTCAAGGAAGCAAAAATTCTTACCGTTGGACTGATAGGCAACATCATGATAGATGGGAAAAAGATTGAAACTGTCAACAACTTTATCTTACTTGGATCCACAATCAACAACCTTGGTTCCAACAGTCAGCAAATCAGGAGACGTAGTATTTTGGTCTGGGAAAATCTGCAGTCAGAGATCTTTCCAAATTATTAAGGGGCGATGATCTCAGTTTGAAGACTCAGGTGTATCTGATTCAGACCATGGTCTTTCTAATTGCTTGCTATGCATCCGAGAGCCAGACACAGAAGAATTAATTGATTCCTTTGAGCTGTAATATTGGAGAAGAGCACTGACCATCCCATGGACTGACACAAGAACAAACAAATATGTCTTGGAGAGGGTGCAGCCAGAGTGCTCCTTGGAGGCAAAGATGATGAGGTTTTATTTCACATACTTCAAGCATGTTGATAGAAGGGTCTATTCTTTGTTGAGGGACATCATGCTTGGAAAGGCTGAGGTCTGGCAAAGGAGAGGAAGACCCTCAACCAGGTGAACTGGCACAGTTACTGTCACATTGGTCCTAGTGTGTCAGGAGGTGTGAGGATGGCACTGGATAGGACAAGGTTCAGGTCTGTTGTTTGTAGGGTCACTATGGGTCCTACTTGACTCAATGGCACCTAACGTAATAACAATATTGCTTTAGGGAAAATGGATCTATTTCAAAGCTATTTATCTTTCTTAAAAAATCTTTACTTCTTAAAAAGATGCCAGTACTTAATGTAACTAACAAATTTGGTCTTAGCATACTTCAGTGTTGAACCTTCAGCCATATAAACAAGAGGCTAACTTGAAATTATTATTTATTCTTACACTTACAACTTTACACTTCCAGTGGTGGGAAAGCCTAAAAATAGAAGGTAGAATTTAGAAGGTTGTCTTTACATTAGGCGAAGAACTGGATTATGTTACTTTTCAAATCCATAGTGGCTTGGAGTTCAAATATTCACCCTTAACCTAGTGTATTTAGAGGAAAGTTTTTGGGGCAAAGTGAAGGCTGATCTTCTTGAGAACAATGAGGGGGAAAAAGTTATCTGCCTAATGATATAGGATAAGGCTGTGGTTAAAACTCATTGAAAGGGTTTCTCATCAATGCCAACAACCATGAATGGCAGAAGGAAAAATAGACCATCAAAAGGTGTTAAGACCGAATATGTTGCCCTCAAATCTGTTAGGAAAAGAGTAGACTTACTGACAATGTTACTTGTGGCTTCTTGAGCTGAACCCTTCACAGTTGTTGCTGGTGGGCTGGTCTGAGGAACCTGGACCTTCTCAATCTGATCCTGTGGCTACAAGGACCGATTTCGGGCAGTTACTCGCCATGTGTCCTGGAGCCTTACAAAGAAAACAAGTGAGAGAAGGCTCCCTCTTGTGCTGGGGCACACTCCCGGCTTTTGTCCAGGCTTCGCATAGTTGTAACATGGCACTTGGGACTTAGGATAAGTTGCCTCGCTACCCTGCACAGCATATGGGGAGGTCTCATAATGGCTTAAGTAGTGGCTTTTGAAATTTTGGCTTTTTGATGGCCCCCATTCTTTTCCTTCTTTTCCTGGTTATTAAATACCAAGATGGCTGCTAACAGGAGCTTACATGATTTGCTCTGAAGGCCTAAGGCCTTATGCTGGAGTTTCCTCTTGGTATCTGGAGCCAACTGATTAATAAAATGGGTATTTAAAACTACTCTACCTTTCTTTCAATTCTGGCTTGAGATTAATAAACTCTTGGGAAATCTTTACTAAACGACTAGAATGCTTCTAGTTTTCCTTTTTTTTAAGTGTAATTTTTACTAATTTAGAGCAATTCACAGGTTTAACTTGAATGTCTACTATGCCTTTGATGAGGTCTTGTAGTTATGTGCCATTGAGTCAACTACAGCTCATAGCAACCCTATGAAAAATTGCTCTAAACCTTGCCCTTTCCTGAGCCAATCTCATCATCTCTGACACACCTGATCCCATTGCCACAGCTACTATGTCAATCCATCTTTCTCTCCTGAACTGACCCTCTACTCTTCCAAGCATGATGTCTTTCTCCAAGGACTAGTCCCTTCTGGCCACCTGCTCAAAGTATATGAGATGGAGTTTCAAAATTCTTGCCTCCAAGGAGCAACCTGGTTTCACCTTCTCCAGGACATATTTGTTTGTTGTCTTGGCATTCTGTGATATGTTCAATACTCTTCTCAAGCACCACAACTCAATAACATTGATTCTCCTTCTGTCATCCTCAGTCACTGTCCAACTCTCAGATGCATAGCAAGCAATTGGGAAGACCTGGCCTGGATCACCTTAGTCTCTAGACTGACATTGTTGCTCTTTAACACTCTAGAGAGATCCTTGACACCAGATTTTCTCAAAGCAGCTCATTTTTTATTTCCTGACTGCTGGTGCCAAGAGTGTTGTTTGTGAATCTGAGCAACACAAAATTCTTAACAACCTCAATTTTTTTTCTCTCCATCTATCATGACACTACCAATTGGCCTAGTGATAAAGATCTTTGTTTCCTTGATGTTGAGATACAATTTGTACTGAAGGCTGCAGTCCTTGACATTCCGCAGCAAATGCTTCAAATCCTTCTCAGTTTCTAAGAGCAAGATTCTTAGAGCAACCTGCATAACACAGGTTGTTGATAGTCTTCTTGCAATTCTGATGCCACTTTCCTCTTCATAAAGTCAAGTTTCAAGAATGATCTGTTCCATATGTCAATTGAAATGGCATGGAGAAAGGATACATCCCTAACAGACTCCTTTCTTGATTTTGAACCATGTAGTGTCAATGACTTCATCTTACTTAGATTCACATCAATACACTTGATACTAGCAGTCAGTATATCAGGAGATGTATTTCACTGGGAATATCTACAGTCAGGGACCTTTCCAAACTTCTGAGGAACAATGATGTCAATTTGAGGCCTAAGTTGCACCTGATTCAGGCCATGGTCTTTTCAATCACTTGCTATTGTATCTGAGAGCTGGACAATGGATAAGAAGGACAGAAAAAGAAGTGATGTCTTTTGTGCTGTGGTGTTGGAAAAGAGTACTGAATATCTGATCATGGATAGCCAAAAGAACAAATAGATATGTTTTAAAGAAGGTGTAGCCAGAGTGCTCCTTGGAGGCAAATATGATAAAACTGCATCTTGTATTCTTTCAGTATATTGTTAGGAAGGTCAATTCATTGGAGAGGAATATCATTCCTGGAAAGGTGGAAGGATGGCAAAAGAGAGGAAGACCCTCAACCAGACGAATTGACCTAAGAAAGGTGGCAATGGGCTATAGTACGTCAGAGATTGTGAGGATAGTGTAGATAGAACAGGGTTCAGATCTGTTCATAGGGTCACTATGAGTCATACTCTACAGCATCTAACAACAACAACAACAACAACAACAAATTTCACTTCTACCATCACAGTTAAGGAGTGTAGACCTCAGAGGTCCAAGTGTCCACCCAGACATAAAGTAAAGGAGGTTGTGTATAACAGTCTTCAAAACAATGCAATAGGATTTGTTAAGCATTTTTTAATCTCCAAAAATGGAATATAATATTATATTATTGTATGTAATATACAGTAATTGGGAGATCAAAAAAGGAAAAATATATGGCTTATTATAACACTCATTTTATAATCATACTTGAGTCCAGAGAGCATTATGCTGGGTGTAGTAATTTGGTCACATAAGGAAAAATACTGTATAAAACCATTATTGTAAAAATAGAAGGATAATGGAAAAAGATGTGTATAAATGTTCAAAAGGGGAAAGGGAAAGAGAAAAGGATGTAGAAAAAGGAGGAGGAAAATCACTAGGATAGCAGAGATTAGTGGGCAGAGGGGTGTGTGTATGAAGGAATAGGAAAGATGCAGTGGGGACTTGAAAAACAGGCTAATAATAAGCCTATTGCAATAACAATTAATGATATAAAATAATGTATATGATTGATTATATGAAACACAATGTAAAGGAAAGATTGGATTAAACACATACATGTGTGTGAAGCACAGTGCACATAAACGATTGGAATGCAAACCAATAACAAATTAATTAAAAAAATAAAAAATTAATTACTGAAGTTACTAGGGACAAAATATGCTTTGAAGTCACACCTGTTTGAGTAAACCGGCGGCTCTAAGCACTACACCACACTGCTCCCTGACCTCTCCGTGGTTTCCTGAGGGACGCTTCCTCCAGGTTCATCCATCTCAGGAGTGTCCTGCAGCGCTTTCTGGAGAATCATCCCGAGGCTTGGCCTCTTCTGCTGTCTATAGGAGCCAACGAAGAAGTAAATGATGGGGTTGATGCTACTGTTAACACAGTAGAGAATTATAAACCAGGAAGTTGATAATTGCTCTAAAGAAGTTGGAATCAAACGAAATAGGAAGGGAAAGTCACAGAGGAGGAAAGTCAACACTGTGAGAACAATGGTCACATAGATCCTGGTCAGTTTCTTCTTTTGGAAGTCACAGAATATCTTCACCAGCAAAATCACGTTAGATCCCAAAAGAGTCACAAATAAGAAAATCAGCCAAATGGCAAGGAACAAATGAAATGCTGAACAGTAATTGTCAGGCTTTTCAGCTATCTTGTTACATAGATGTCCTTCCAGAGCACCCAGCAACAGGGACAAAGTCCAGAGCACCACACACGTGACAGCTGATGTGTGCCTTGGGCGTCGGCACCGGTACCAGATGGGGAACAAGACGGATAGGCAGCGTTCAGTGCTTATGCAGCTGAGAATGCTCAGGTCTGCAATAAACACGAAAGCCCAAACAACTTTAAAGAGAAAAAGGATATTTGAGTGCAAGTCAATGAATATCATCAGGGATATGATAACCTCAAGGAAGAGGAAGAGGAAGTCAGCCCCTGCCAGGTTGAGAATGTAAACAGAGAAGGAGTTTCTTCTCAGGCGGAAGCCCAGGAGCCACAGAACAACTGTATTTCCCAGCAGCCCACCCAGGGCTATGAGGAACGTCAAAATTGTCAAGCTTAGAGGCTCCTTCTCTGGGCTGTTGTTGGAAGAAGAGGTCGGGTGACTTCCATTCATTGTGGTAGAGTTGATTCCCCATCCTGTGGTGGTTGGATTCATGCGTAGAAACTCTCCACTCCTGTTCCTAGAAATACAAACAAGACTTGGCATTTGCTATGTAGTTGTTGAGGGGCTCATTTTTTTGTAGTCTACAGAGGTTGCACTGCTAACCTAAAGATAGCCTGTTCAGATCCACCAGCAGATCTTCGTAACCTCTGAAAATCAGCTGCAAGGGCTGGAGGTCAGATATGAGTCAACTCTGAATCGATTGCAATAAGTGAGGGTTGGTTGGGTTGTTTTTTCGTTTTTTTTTTTTAACACTCTGATCATCCTGTTAAAGAAGAATCATTGTCTCAATTTTAGAGAAGATGGATATGGAGGCTTGTTGTGATTAAGTAATTTAACATACTCTAAGGAGACCTGGAATCAAGACTCAAGTCTCAGCTTTTTGGTGGTGTTAGGTGTTGTCAAGTCAACAGTGGTCCATAGTGACCCTATGAACCTTACCCTATCCTGTGCCATCCTCATCATCCCTAACATTGACACGGTTACTATTTCCATCCATCTAGGTGACGGCAGAGGAAGACATTTAATGTCTTCCTTACTTTCCCTAACCCGCCATATTTCTAGTCATCATCTTTTTCTAAGGACTGACTCTTCCTGACAACATGCCCAGAGTATTTCAGATGAAATGAAACCATTCCTTTGCCTCTGTGGAACATTTCGACTAAACTTTTTTCAAGATACATTTGTCCTTTGGGTAGCCCATGAGCTTATTCAAGACTCTTATCCAATATCACAACCCAAAGACATCAACTCTTCTCTCATTTTTATTCATTGTCTAACTTTCAGATGCACAGAAAGTAACTGAAAAGAACATAGCCTGGACAAGGTGTGCCTTAGTCTTTAAACTGACACTGTTGCTTCTTAGCACCTTGGAGAGGTCCTTGACAGCACATTTCTTTAATGCAATGTGACTTTTGATGTCTTCAGGTTTTTATGGAGATTATATAGTGTTCACTCCACGCTTTCTATATACATGGGACTGACTTGTGACTGAAGGAGCCCTAGTGGGACTTACTTTCTGTGTTGGGTTGTTAAATGAAAGATGTGAACTACCAACTGCTCTAGGTAAAGATGACAAAGCTGTGTCTCACATACTTTGATAATGCTGCTAGGAGAGGCTGTTCTTTAGAGAGGAATATCATGCTTGGAAAGGTGGACGATTGGTGAGAAAGATATTCAACCAGATGGACTGACACTGTGACTGCTGCAATGGGCTCAACTGTGTCAGAAATGATGGATTGCTGTAAGTTGTATGTACTTAACTCGATGACACCTAACAGCAACAACAACATTATCAGGTTTCTTTAAATTTTTCTTCTCCTTTCCTACCATTTTATAATCTGGGAAACCCAATAAAATCCAACTACAGAAGAGGTTTGATTTCTCTTTGTTTTATTCTGCTTGAGAGGAGCTCTGATGGGTTGTGGTTAAGACATTTGGCTGCTAACCTAAAGGTGGGTGGTTTGAACCCACCAACCTCTCTGAAGGCAAAAGATGAGGCTGCCTACTTCTTTAAGTTTTACTCCATCTTACAGGTTAGCTGTATGTTATTTATGGCACCTTTTTTTGTTTATTTGTTTGATTATTCTGTGATGGAACTTTCCCTTCCATGCACCTTCGTGTGTCACATTTCTAGTCTTTCAGGAAGCAGAAGGAAGAAAGTCTTAGACAAGCTCTTTAGAACAGCCAAAATGGTCCCAGCATTCCTTTTGTTCTAGGACAGAGGTTCCCTCTCACAGACAAGAGGTTGGAAGACTAATCCTTACTAATCATGCTTGGTGATTGAGTGAATCCATACACCAACGAGAAATAAAAAAGTGTTTTAAAGACCCGAGAGAGATATGATCATTTGCTAGACAAGTGTGACAATGCCCGGGCCTCTTGTGCTAGAAATACCAGAAAAAATAAGCATAATGCGGCTAAGAAGAGCTTTTTTTCTTGTCCATTTCTACTCCCCAGTGCCTTGGTGTGTCTAGTATGCTCAGTAAGTATCCAAGAAATCATTCTTTAACAAATAGATGCATTTGACTGAATGAATATAGAGTACAAAGTAGGGAATGTTGTTGATGTTTTGTGCTGCTGAGTTGGAAGTAACTTATAACTGACCCTTCAGAGTGTTTTCAGAGGCTGTAAATCACACAAGAAGAGACAGCCCATCTTTCTCCTGCAGAGCAGCTGGTGGATTCAAACCACATGCTTTTGAGTTTACAGTGCATCTCCTTATCCACAAAGCCACCAGAAGTTCCTGATTGTTATTAAACAGGTGGATGCTTTTAAATACATGTTCTTGTTGTTGCTGTTGTTGATTGCCTTTGAGTTAAGCACAACTCATAGTGACCCCATGAACAAAAGGTCTGAAGCCTCTCTACAACTATCGGCATTTATCAAAGTTCATAGAGTATCCGGAGGCATATTGTTTAGGAAGTGGATGCCACTCCTTCTTCCAAACCTGTCATAGAATGATATTGTTTGAGTTGCCTCTGAGCCATAGTGACCCTATGTACCCTTCCTTGTCCTGAGCCAGTCTCACTAATTCTGACACACCAACCTCCATTTCCCCAGTCACTATTTCAATCTATCTCATCTGCGATCTGCCTCTCCTTTGCTCTCTGTCCACCCTTCCAAGCATGATGTCCTTCTCCAACGACCAATCTCTCCTGACCACGTGCCCAAAGTAAGTGAAGCAGAACTTCAAAATCCTAGCCTCCAAGGAGAGACTTGATTTCGCCCTCTCCAAGACAGACCTATTTGTTTTCTTAGTAGTCCATGATATGTTCATGACTCTTCTCTAGCACCACAACTTGAAGGCATCTTATTCTTCTTCTGTCATCCTTAGCCATTGTCCAACTCTGAAGCATAACAAGTAATTGAAAAGACCGTGTCCCAGATTAGGTACACCTTTGTATCTAGACTGACATTGTTACTTTTCAGCACTTTGGGGACATCCATGACAGCAGATTTTCCCCAATGCAATTTGTCTTTTGATTTCCTGACTGCTGGTGTTGAGAGTTTTGATTGTCGATCCAAGCAAGCTTTAATTGTTAGCAACCTCAATCTCTTCTCCATCTATTATGGTGCTGCCAACTGGCCCAGTGGTGAGAATCTTTGTCTTCCTGATGTTGAGCTTCAGTCCATATTGAAGACTACAGTCCTTGACCTTCTGCAGCAAGTTCTTCAGGTCTTTTTTAGTTTCAACAAGCAAGGTTGTGTCATCTGCATATCATAGGCTATAAATGAGTCTTCCTTCAATCTTGATGCCACACTCCTCCTCATAAAGCCCTGCCTTCCTAATTATCTGTTCTGCATACAGATTGAAAAGGTATGGGGACAGGATGCATCCCTGATACACTCCTTTCCTGATTTTGAACCAATGGGTATTTTCTTGCTCTGTTCTGAGGACTGCTTCATGGTCCAAGTATAGGTTTCGTATAAACATGGTCAAGTGCTCTGAGATTCCCATTTTCCTCAAGGTTAGCCACAATTTATTGTGATCCATATAGTCAAGTGCCTTTGCATAGTTGATGAAATGCAGATAGACATTCTTCTGGTACTCTCTGCTCTCTGCCAAGATCCATCTGACATTGGCAATAATATCCCTAGTGCCACGACTTCTTCTAAACCCAGCCTGTATTTCTGGTAGTTCTTTGTCAATGTACTGTTTAAGTATTTTCTGAATAATCTTCAGCAGGAATTTGCTGGTGTGTGATACTAGTGATACTGTTCAATAATTTCCACACTCTGTCGGGTCACCTTTTTTTTGTAACGGGAATAAATATGGATTAAATTAGTGAAGCACAAATAGAGTGGCTATTTGATCTCCTAGTGGTTAAGCAGTTGTACTGCCCGCTCATAGGTTCAAGTCCACAAACTTCTCAGAGGGAGAACAATTACCTCTGGTGAGATTTATCACCGTTGAAAACTCATTGGAGGGTTAGCAATGAGTTGGTTCTGGTTGAATGGTAATAGGTATGTTTTTTAAAACAAAAAATATTGTAAATGAGATTTTCCCTATAAAATGTACATGTAAAGAGAAGAAAAATATTTATCATCATTCTCTTATGCTTAAAGCTCTTTGTGTTTGAAAAAAATAATTTGACATTCCCAAGTAGGTATTAGCAGACACTCTTCTGCCTCTGAACTGGGGAGAGGGTCAATGTAAGTTTAATAAAACATTTAGGGTTGTTGTTGTTATGTGCTGTCGAGTCACTTGTGACTTATAGCATCACTATGTACAAGAGCCCTAAACCCTATTTTATCTTGTGCCAACTTTATTGTTTCTGACATACCTACCCTCATTATCCTAGTTACTGAATCGATCCATCACATCGAGAATCTTTCTTGAGCTGTACCTCCACTCTCCCTTTCTGAGGACCTCCTTGTAATTTGTCCAAAGCGTTTCAGACGAAGGAAGCTTCAGAATCCTTGCCTCCAAGGAGCAGCCTGGTTTCACTCTCTCCAGGACAAACCTGTTTGTTCTCCTAGTTGTCTATGGTATATTCAACACTATTCTCCAGGATCACAGCTCCAAGGCATCAATTCTTTTTCTATCATCCCTAGTCATTGTCCAGCTCTCTCATGTATCATAGCAAGCAATTGCAAAGACTATGGCCTGGATCAGGCACACCTTGTTTCTCTTCAATACTCTGGAGAGGTAGGTCCCTGACAGCTGACTTTCTCAATGCAATTTGTCTCTGGCTGCTGGTACCAAGAGTGTTGATTGTGGAGCCAAGTAAACTAAAACTGTTAACAATCTCAGTCTCTTCGCCATCCATAATGATGCTTCCAATTGGCTCACTGGTGAGAATCTTTGTTTTCTTGATGTTGAGCTTCAAGTCATATTGAATGCTGCAGTTATTGACCTTATGCAGCAAGCACTTCACGTCCTCCTCAGTTTCAGCAAGCAGCATTGTGTCTTCTTCATAATGCAAGCTGTTGATGAATCTTCCTTCAAT